CCTCCTTCCCCTCCTCCTCCCCTCCTTCCCCTCCCCCTCCCTCCCTCCCTTTCTTTTTGGAGGAATGCGGCAGAGTGGGGGGTGGTACTAGGTATCGCCCTCCTGCTCTCACTTTGCGGCTGAGCTGTACCCAAGACCCTGCCTGGATTGTTTGTTTCTTCACAGGCAAGAATGAAAGAATGAGGATCACCTATTTCTCTTCCCCACTAAATTTTTGACTCCTTGAACATAGCAAGTGTGAGTAATCCATGTTCTGACAATACAAGAAGATAAAGAGCGGGTCGACGGGACTGAGACTGAGGCAGGGCCACGGGGCGCCTGAGGCAGAGCTCAGGCCTCTACTTGGAAGTGAATTGAAGTTGTGAGACGGGAGGGAAAAGCACCCTGTAAGAAGGGTCTGTAGAAGCTATATACTGCCCTCTCGCGTCCACTTTGAGAAAATACAGCCTCTCCCCTCCACACTCAAGAATTCCAAAATTAGGCTGTACTCAACAACACCGCAATCAAAGAGATGAACATTGCTCTCTAGGAGACTGACGCAGGAGGACTGAACAGTCAAGAGCCTCCCGGGCCACCTGGCTACCTCAAAGAAAAAAATTAAGCAATTTCTGACTTTTTAATCTCCAAAATTTTAAAACAAAATATTATGTTTGGCAGATAATTGTCCATTGATATATAAGAAAGCACAGTATTAGAAACAGAGAAAGATCCCGCTGAGACGTGCCCTCCGGGCACGCTGAGACAGCGAGTGACACTGGGCATGGTGACATGTGCCTATAATCCCAGCCCTTGGGAGGCTGAAAACAGGAGGATCACTACGAGCCCAATCTGTATAGTGAGACCCTGTAGACCCTGTTCTAAATCCATTGAAAGAAAGAAAGAAAGAAAGAGAAGAAAGAAAGAAAGAAAGAAAGAAAGAAAGAAAGAAAGAAAGAAAGACAAACAGTATTGGGGGAAAAGTGAAGAATATAAATTTTTTTAAAAGGATTAAAATATGGCTCAATGTAAAGGTCCTGGGTCTAATTCCTTCTCCCCCCTTCAAAAAAAATCGCAAATCTCTGCAATTTATTGCTTATTCTATTTTTTTTTTTTTTTGGAGGGGGGTGGATTGAACTCAGGCTCCTCTGCTTGCCAGGGAAGCGCTTATTCCACTGAGCCACCTCCCGGGCCCCTTACTGCTTATTCTAAAAAACACTTTCTCTACACTCTTTTTTTTTTTTTTCTTTTTTTTAAATTATTTATTTATTTTTATTACATTTATTTATTGTGTGTGTGTGTGGCCAGCTCAGCCCACCAGGGGGCGCGGCTGGCTGGCATGTGGTGCTGGGGGATTGAACCGCGGTCCCTGTGCTTTGCCAAGCTTGTTTCAAGTAGGTGCTTTAGACCACTGAGCCATCTCTCCAGCCCCTCTCTACACTCTTACACAGAACTTTTTGTACTGGAGAGTAAACTCCACACTGAACTACTTCCCAATACTTTTTTCATTTATTTTTTTATTTTAAGACATTGTAAGACAGAATTACAGTAAATTGCGCTCGCTGCATTCTAACTTGTGATCCTCCTGCCTCAGTCTCTGTCATAGCTGGGATTACAGGCTTGCACCCAACGACCCAGCTTTTTTTTTTTTTTTTTTAACCTAAGAGATAGGGTCTCGCTATGTTTCTGGGCTCCAGTGATCCTCCTGCCTCAGCTTCCCAAGTATCTGGGACTAAGGCCTGTCCCAGCACGCACCTGACTCCTACAGAACACCCTCCACCATGGGCCAATTCTTTGACATTCTCTGGCTATCCTACAGTTCAGTTCAATATCTGTCCATACCACCTGTCTATCTGGAGTTAACATCGCATTTGCAGGGCTTGGTTCCAAAAGATGGACCCTCTTCCGCTGCCCACCACCGGCTAGGTTTCCAGTACTTCTGACTGGCCGACTATTATGGAGGAGTGCCCAGGTCACCTCTTTATGGTTTCCATGATTTGCTAGAGTGGCTCAGAGAAGTCCAAAAAATATCTTACCACTCTGCAGTGCCAGGTGCTATCCAGGCAGATGACAGGCCAGGGAAGGTCTATCTGTACCTCCGAGTCCACCAGAGCCTGAGGACAGCAGCCTGGGCGTGTTAGGCATGTCCTCTCAGGAATGTGTGTACAGTTCACCAACCCTGAACATCATCCAGCCTCATTTCTTCAAAACATTCACAGAGTTTTATCTGCAGCTGCCTCCCTGCTTTCTGGAGGCTAGAGGGAGGGTCAGAGCTCCAGCCTCAGTCAGTCCGAAGTGTGCCCCCACCCTGAGCCCTTGGATGGCCATCACCTAATTCATTTAATGAGCATCAAGTGAGGGGTGGGTATTATCCAAGGTCAGTGGCTTGTTGTGAACAGCAAAAGGCACTCCTATCATGCTGGAAATTCCATGGATTTTAGGAGCTCTGTGCCAGGAATTAAGAGTGAAAAACAAGGGCTGGCCTCATAGTTTAGCAGACTAAAGCTCCTGTTTAGGCAGAGCGCAGCAACTGGGACTCGATCCCCAGTGTGCCCTGCCAGCCCCGCCCCCAGGGCGTCCTGAGACTGCGATTGAGACTGGGCATGGTGGTGCGCACTTGTAACCCCAGCACTTGGGAGGCTGAAAACAGGAGGATCACTACAAGTCTGATCTATGTAGTGAGACCCTATAGACCCTATACTAAATGCAAAAAAAAAAAACCATATTTCCTGTTTTACCACATTTATTCAGTTTAGGTTTTTTTCCCCCATTATTTTATTGAGAAACAAATCGCAATGAGACAGTTGCAAACTAAATTGGCAGGACAGATTCAATAATTAACACATTGCATACATTCTTCCAGGTGGTTAATTGCTATACAAGATGTGGACATGATATCCTATTTACAAACACTATTACAACAAATCCCTCTATTCATTTAGAGAATGCAGCTATATATCTATCCTAACCATTTTGAAAAAAATATGGAACGCTTCACGAATTTGCGTGTCATCCTTGCGCAGGGGCCATGCTAATCTTCTCTGTAGCATTCCAATTTTAGTATATGTGCTGCCGAAGCGAGCACTCAGTTTCGGTTTTTGATGCGCAGGATATGTGAGCCATTGTGCTTGGTTCTGGCCAAAGCATCTGCCCACATTGTGGAAGAGATACCCAGGAAAATGTAAAGGAACTATGATGTAAACTGAGTTATCAGGGATGAGTAGCAATTAGTCGTGGGCTAAGACTGTAGTCCACTGGGAGAATACAGGCTTAGCTCACATGCAGACATGATCTCTATCCCTAACGTGTCAAAAGAAAAGAAATCAGCCAGATTAGAATACAGATGTAAGATGTGGTGGCACAGGCCTATGATCCAAGCACTCGGAAAGCTGAGGCAGGAAGGTTGCCGTGAGTCTGAGGTCAACCTCCATAGTAAGTTCAAAGCCAGCCTGACCTTCATAGTGAGAACCTATCTCAAAAAAATTAAATAAATGAGTTAATTAAAATAGGATTGTGCCAACTGTAGCAGCATATGCCTATAATCCCAGCTCTTTAGGAGACTGACACAGGAGGAGCACAAGGTTGAGACCATGTAACTAGAGTCCCCAGCTCCTGACCCCACCGATGCTGTGACACCAATCAGAGATGGGCAGGGAAGGAGTTATAATCTGTGTGACTGTCCTGGGAAGCACAGAAAGAGGTCCAAGATCTGTCTTGAAAGGCTGCTGGATGCCTGGGGGTTTTATGGAATAGGGGGTGGAGGCAGAGCTCAAGGGTCTGCCTAGCAGGCAGCAGGTAGTCCTGGTTGCCAGGGGTGGGCTGGTGGATGGTGGTCCAGACTGGTTCGAGGATGTCCTGCGAGAGCCATCGTTGTGTGAAGGTGGTTCAGTTCCATCCTAAGACCATGATTCCCGCTTGGGGAGTAGCCTCAACTGCTGCCTTGGTGTAACTGGTTGTGTGGGTTCATGGGTGCATGGGTACCTGGACGCCTGGGAGCCTGGGTGCATGGGTGCTGGGAGCCTGGGTGCCTGGATGTGTGGGTGCATGGGTTCCTGAGTGGATGGGTGCCTGGGTGCATGGGCGCATGGGTACATGGGTGCATGGGTGTCTGGGTGCATAGGTGCATGAGTGCCTATGTGACTGGGTGCATGGGTGCTAGGTGCCTGGGTCATCGGTGCGTGAATGCCTGTGTGCATGGGTGCCAGGGGGCCTGCATGCATTGGTGCCTCAGAGCCTGGGTGTCTGGGTGTCTGGGTGCCTGGGTGCATAGGTGCATGGGAGCTTGGGTGCCTGGGCACATGGGCGCCTGGGTGTTTAGGTGCCTGGGGCCTGGGAGCCTGGGTGCATGGGTGCATGGGTGCATGGGTGCCTATGTGCTGGGTACCTGGGTGCCTAGGTGCATAGGTGCCTGGGTGTCTGGAGCCTGTGTGCATGGGTGCCTGGGTATGTGGGTGCATGTGTGTGTAGCTTCATTATGAAGGCCAAAAAATAGAATGAAATAAAGGCAGAGATGCCAAGGTTTGTCTTGCTTGAGCATTCCAGGTGCAGCCTCTAAGTGCCTCTTACAGCTGGCCTGGGAATTTAGTGAGGCCCTGTCTCAAAATAAAATCAATAATAATAATAGTAACAATAATAATAATAATGGCTAGGGGTGTAACTCAGGGCTCCTTGGGTTCAATCTCCAGGGACCATGGAGTTTGATCCCTGGTGTTCCATGCTGGCTCCGCCCTCAGGGGCACTGAGACAGCAACTGAGACTGGGTGTGGTGGCATGTACCTGTAATTCCAGCGCTTGGGAGGCTGAAAACAGGAGGATCACTGAGTCCCATCTGTGTAGTGAGACCCTGTAGACCCTGTACTAAAGATATTTAATAAATAAATAAATGTAAGGATTGTAGGAAATTAATGATTGTGGTGGGAACAGTGTTAAAATATACAGTATGATGGTTTTTAAGTATGAGAGAATTCGGAGCTTTCAAAGAATGGCTGGTAATTCAGTGTGACTAGGAGCAAGGTGCAAAGATGGAAGTGGGGGTTGCAGCCCTGATGACATGAGGACAATAGCATGACGAATAGTCATGTATGAGGTGCACAGGTGCATCCTTTCATCTGTACCTGAAGGATGATGCAGTCTTTGTGGTTGGGCTTGGTTTTGTGACAGGGTCTTGCCACATAGTGCAGGTTGGCCTTGAACTTGCTTATGTAGTCCACACTGGCCTCTAAGTCACTGTGATCCTCCTGCCTCAGCCCCCCCCAAGTGCTGGAATCACAAGCATTCACCACCACACCCCCACTTTTGTGGCTTTTAAACCAGGGAGTGGCTGAATCTGATTAGTGCTCAGAGAGTCATCTGGGCCATTGGTGTTAGGAGTAAAAGTGGGAAGCACTGGCCCCGCAGGACAGGTTAGCACGGCTAGCTCGGTGCCTGAACGGAAGAGATAGAGACAGTGGGAGTGTGGACAGGTCTGAAGTACAGTGAGGTGGCTCAATAGGATCGAGGTGGCAGGGTGCGTGCTGAGCGTGTGCAGGAGCTCAAGGCACGGGAAAGGCTGAGAGTGACTCACGAGTAAGTCCCTAGGGTGCCCAGGCAAGTGCTGGTACCACAGTCTCTGCTGAGGGTGAAGGACAAATGAGAACACAGAACACAGTTGAAAGAGAGATGGGAGGCTGAGGAAGTAGCTCAGGGGCAGTGTATAGTTAGCGCTAACAAGGTCTGGGCTTCTGTCTCCAGCAGTGAGACAGACAGACTGACAGACAGACAGAGACAGAGACAGAGACAGACAGACACAGAGACAGACACAGAGACAGAGACAAGAGACAGAGACAGAGATGAAGGTGGCTGGGCCCAGAACCTTGAAAATTACTGAGAGTAAACAGAAAACAACTAAAAAGCAGGGTAAAAGCACACCAGGAGACACTGAGAGGAAAACAAAGAATGTGAAACCATTCATGCCAAGAGAGGAGGACCTTTCCAGAAGCAGCCCTGGTAGTAGTGCCTAAGGCTAAGCAAAAGGAGACAGAAATGTGTCTGAGTTATTGAGCTACAAAGAGGCCCTTGTGTAACAGCTTTTCTTAGAATTGTGAAAAGAGGCGAGTTAGGTTTTAGGGAAAGGGCAAAATACAAATGTTTTCTGTCTGGCATTGACCCTGGACTGTTGGAAAGATTTGGTTTAACTCCAGGGCACTCTGGTGGAGGAAGGGTGATGGGCTTTTCTGGTCTCTCCTCCCTTTAGGAAGGAGTAAGCTGTCTCTGCCCTGAGTGAAACCAAGCCTGCGACTTACTTTGGCCCATAGAGCTTCCAAAGCTGAGCCCTCAGAGGCCCATTGGGTTCTCGGAACATTCCCCTAATATTTGTAGAAGCCTGAGTCAGGGGACACGCTGCATCCAGACACCCCTCTGGCCACCACACCCTCCAGCTGCCTGAGTGAGGGTGGTCTACCAGCTGTCCCTCCCTGCCTGCCCTGGGTCTTGCTATGGTTAATTGCATAGCACCATGAAGGGAATTGGAGAGAATGATCCTCAAAGGGAAAGCCATCAACTATTATGACAACCAATCAGGCTGGCCTGGTGGCATACTGCTATAAGGCCCGCCCCCTAGGATTCTGAAATAGGAGAATCACAAGTTCGAGCCCTGCATGGACAAAACTAGGGAGCCTCAGTCTCAAAATTAAAAATAAAACAGGCTGAGGAAGTAGATCTGTGAGAAAGTCCTGGGTTCAATCCCCAGTACTGGGCGAGGGGGGATAATGGGTCATTAGTGTTGAAGGGTAGCTCAGTACTTGTGCTCATCACTATTATTGGGATAGCTCAAATAGCTTCCCTTCAGTCATTGCAAGGGTACAGCACCTGCCAGAGGACAACAGGGACGTCTCAGTTCCACCTTCCCCATGACGAGATTCGGACCCAACCTTTATTGCTCATCCATTTCATCAGTATGTCTCTAAAATATATTAATGCCAAGTTGCCAAAGGTCCATCCCAAAAATGTCTTTCCTCAGAAAATGTGAGCAACATAAAGGCAAAACGTTGTTGTGTTTTATTTCTGCTATATTCTAAATAGGTGTGCCCAGTGACTAAGGTAAGGAAAGTCCTCCAT